GTCAACTCCAAATGGATCAAAGACCTTGATGTGAAACTGGAAACCCTGAAATTATTAGAAGAAAATACTAGTAGTAACTTACAAGATATAGGTGTAGGAAAGGATTTTCTAAATTGGACAGAAGTTTTTCAGGAATTAATGTCAGCAATCAACAAGTAGGACCTCATTAAACTAAAAAGCTTCTGTACAGCAAAAGAAACAATCAAAAAAGTGAAGAGAAAACCCACAGAATGGGAAAAAATCTTCACCAGGGACACATCTGACAGATGTTTTGTAAGAATGCACGTTCTTGACCATAGCTACACCATGTTAAAGTTTAGGGTGACTCTAGTTTCTGAAATTATCAGGCAGCTGGCCCAGGGTGTGGGAATGCCAGCTGGGCCCTTGTTGTTTTGGGAACGGGTCAGAGTGTCCTCAAGTGCTCCTGCTAACTGCTGATTTGTGGCTTCTGTAAGTTATGCTTGGCTTGCTTCTGCAAAATAGTAATTGTTGTTAACAGATCCCTTTCTGCTTAGAAGACTTAGGGAAACTTTATTTCTAGGAAACAATTGCTATACAACAAAACTCCCCTAGAGGGAACTTTGTTACCAGAAAAGGCAAGGTAAAAATAATAAGATTGATAATGTCTGTTTATGAATGAGGAGGAAGGCATGCAGATGGACTATGGTTCAGGTAGGGGGTTTGGATGGGAAATTGTATTTTCTTATGTATTTCCTTGATAGTTTTCTCAAGCTTAACACTCAATGATTAGCTTCTGTATTCTGCTTGTTTGCCTAGCAACATGATCAATATAAAAAGAGCCAGAGTGCTTAGGCTTGGGGCTACTCTCGGACCCTTTAGGAAAGAGTGTAGCCCGGCCATAATAAATCTATTTTCCTTCTCTAGACTCACCTGTCTGTCTGTTTGTTTGGGGCATTTGCAGATCACAGACTATAACAGTTTAACCTCCAGAGTATATAAAGAACTCAAAAAACAAAGAAGCAAGAAACCAAATGACACAATTAAAAGATGGGCTAAAGATCTAAACAGAGAGATCTCAAAGGAAGAAATAAAGATACTAAGAAACATCTCAAAAAGTGTTCAACATCGTTAGTGAATAGGGAAATGCAAATTAAAACCACCCTAAGATATGACCTTACCCCAACCAGACGACTAGGATCAAGAGAACAAATGATATCAAATGCTGGTGAGGATGTGGAAACTTTGCTGCTGGTGGGATTGCAAACTCGTGAAACCTCTATGGAAAACAGTGTGGAGAACTCTTTAAAAACTAAAAATGAATCTACCATATGATCTGGTTATACCACTCCTTGGCATATACCCAAAGGATTCATCCAATTGTAGAGACACTTGTACAACTGTGTTTGTTCCTGCTCTTTTCACAATACTAAGAGATGGAAGCAACCTAAGTGTCCCTCAGCTGACTAGTGGTTAACAAAAATGTGGTATATTTACAGAATGGAGTTCTATTCAGCAGTAAAGAAAGATGAAATAATGAAATTTTCAGGTAAATGGATGGATCTAGAAACTTATACTAAGTGGAAGTAACACAGACTCAGAAAAACAAATGATGTATATTCTCCCTTATATGTGGCTCCTAGCACCAAATCCTTTTAAATTCCAGGTCCTTTTAATAAGATGATGCTGTACAGCAGTCTCTTCTGTATGAAGTTACTACCATCATCACGACTTCAACTGAGCCTGATTGCTATACATCTTCACAGTTGGGCTTTTTGACGGTTGTGCTCATTCATTTAAGGAGAGCCAAGCAGGGACATTGAACCCTCACTAGATTATCCAGCCACTCTTCCCAGAGAACTGTATATAATTTGGCTCTAATCACACATGGCCTCTGGATTTGGGGAGGGATAAAGTATACAATCTGGGGAAGGCTAGGAAGAGAAGGCATGACCCATGCTGGGTAAAGGCTTTCCAGTGTGCATACCCTCAGGTCATATCTACACCTCAGCAGCCCCGCAGTTATCTTGAAGCCTTTGAGAGGGAACTGACGCTGATTCTAACCACTCCAATAGCTATCAAAATACCTGAAAGCAAACCCTGAATCCATCACTCTAGAGTCCAGCCTTGGAAGACAAAAAGAAAATGAGGACGAACCCAATAGAGGGATGCTTCTGGAAGCCTTTGTCAAGAAATTCCAATGGACTCTCATATGAACATTTGAAAATTGTCCTGTTCTGACTTTTTTCTAGTTCCCTGTCTAGAACTTGTAATGCTAATTACTCTTGCCTTTACTTATCCTTCACATCTCCTATTCATGAGTCAGGGACTTTCTTTTCCCCTTAGAGATAAGAGTTATGCAATTTGGGAATCTTAGATAGACCCACTGAAGGGGTACCCCAGTTGCCTCACCCTGCATCCCTGTTTAGCATGGAAGAAGACAGAGTGGTCTGTGTCCTGATTCTCTATTGGCAATTTGGATAACCTCTTCATGTCACGCCATCTCCAATGAAGCCCACGTGAGATCCTCCGTGGGTTGAGGCTGGAACTTCAAGGAAGGTTGCCTCTTGGAATTGGCTGTGCTAAAAAACATGCAGTGTACTTGGCATGCTTTTACTTGCTATTATCTTTCTGACTGTCACTGTATCATGGGCTTTCAGGGGCCCAGAAAGCACCTGGTGTCCTTGACACCGCTGTCACTGCCTTTATTGAAATCTTTTAATTATCCTAGTATGCAGGAAGAGTTCTCAGGAACTCAATCACCAAAGACAGCTTTGCCTCCAGATGCATCACTATTAATCAAAGCCATTTTAGATGCAGCAAGAAGTAGCTAAGCAAAATTAATGCTGGAAAGTCCAGGAAATAACGGATTTCTAGAAGAGAGCATAGATGAGTAAATATAGATAGAAGAAGGGTTTCTTGGTATTCATTACAATTCATGGATAAATTGGCAAGATCAAGACCACCTTGGTGTCTTTTGATAAAAGATCAACAAGAGAGCATTAAAAGGCAACTACAGACTGTAGTTAAGGATTGGAAAAATAGCTGGGAAAGATGGTTTCATAGGTCCCTAACATGGGATGATTTTTTAGGATCTAAGGGGTTAAAGAATGACTTAGAAGCCTGATGGCCCACTACAAATAAGCAAGGAATGTTATCAAATAGTTAAAAATGAAATATCATACACAGTTGATATTGAAAGTACTTGGTGGTTTAAGGTCATTCTGACCTGAAAACACAAAACTAAGCAGAGTTCTGAGTGCGTGATAAAAGCTGGTAGTAGAAACCATAGTATCATAAAGCAGGAATTTGCTGACTGGTACCAGGTTGATAAGATAAAGAAATGTGTTTTGGCTATACATGAGGGTTGGCAAAATTGTTTTACTTTTACTGAAAATCTTAGAAGGTGACTAATTACAGAACAGTCACGCTGATGATGAACTTTCGCAATCTTTGCTGTATATATTTCAAACCTTGCAGCTGCAAAAATACACTCAGACCTTCATCAAACTCCTTTGAGGATGGCATGATAAGAATAGGAGGTAGGAATTGGCTAGGCAGTTAGGGTAAAAAGACCCCAAAGAAAAGTAGCCAGTTTCTTGACTAAAACTTGCAACGTCCTTGGGCCTCTTAGCAACCTACTCTGTTCTGAAGGCCAAAAATGTCAAAAATATTTGGGAGCTTTTATCTAATCCTTAAAAGATTTTAGGGTTGCCTCTTCAGAGGAGGGGAATGTTAGAGTAGCCAAAAGTCCCATAAAAATAAATAAATAAATAAATAAATCAAAGAAGAAGAAAGAGTACATGAAGCTATCAGAAAAAAGTGATGGGGAGAGATGGGAGAAGTTGGAGGGGAGGGAGTGGGCACGGGTTTGATCTAAACACCTTATATGCATGTATGAAATTCTCAATTATTTATTTTTAAAGAAACCCAAAACAAATATCCTTTCAATTTATAGGGAATCCCCTTCCCAGCCACAAGGTTGTCCTTAGGATACCAGAAGGCAGTGCACTGCTTAACAATTGAGACACATTCTGAAAAACAGTTCATTAAGCTATTTTGTCACTGTGAAGCAGCATAGTGTATGCATACAAAGTGTGCTGTAGAGCCCTGCACACACTGAGGTTCCATGGAAGATCTTTGAATATTATTTGCTGTGTAGCAGTTTCTTGAGCGATAAAACCTCTTTAAGGCACCGTCATCCTAATGGGAGGTGGAACATCCCTTAATGCAGGGAAGCTCATTTGGTTCAGGAAGTCCCTGAAAGTGACCAGATTCACTTGGCCCCTCCCTCTCCAAGCATATATAAGCCCTAAGTATGCTGGGCAAGTTCTCAGACTAACTCACCTGCCTGGAAGACTCATACCACCCTAGCTACCTAGAACTCTCCAACCCTTTGAGCTGCTTCCTGCTTTTCTGAGCTGTCACCATGCAGGGCTGACTTTGGTGATGCAGCTGTCTGAGTCATTACTGCTCCTGTAAGTAACCCTGATGAAACTCATTGGTTCAACAAGCTGAACTTTGGTCGTTTCCTTATTTATGGTCTGTGGTTGGCTCCCTATCTGGGGTGAGAAGATATCTGTTTACATCTCTACACATTTGTTTCCTCTAAATATGAACCTCTTTTCAGATACATGTATTGAGAGGTGCTGTCTACACCAGGCAATCACATTGAAAACCAGATTTACTTTTCAAAAGCGCACATGCTTTAGAATGTTCAGGTAAAATAGACATGTGTGGTACAGTCAAAAGATAAGGCATCTATCCCCACTGCCAAGTAAAGAGGATTAAGAATTACAGAACAGTGTAATCAGCGATACAAATTGCATATTTTCCTGCTTACTGCATCTAATGAACATGACCCCACTTTACAAAGAGGAAGTGGAGGCACACGGAGAAAAGGTGGTTTCCCTGGGGTAACACTGAGTCAGGACTTGAACCCAGGATTCTCTATGACCTTTACCACTTCCATAACTGGTGGCTTAGAGGCCATTGACATAAAGAATCTCCCCTGACACACACTGTCCTCAGCAATGCCTGCTCCGGCCTCCAGCCAGAGGTGGGGCTTATGCAGAGGGATGCCGTCACTTGTGGATCTTGATCTCTGTGTACTCAGTCTTGGTGGCATCTGGGTCCTGAGGCTGCCGGGGCTTCAGCCCTTGGAAGCTGAGGGAGGCATAGTGGAGCTCTGGCTTTTCCTTCAGGGTGGCTGTGGCTATGGCAGAGGGTGGCTGGTCGTCCTGGATGACTGACCCTGGTACATAAACCTGTTGTAGGATGGAAGAAGGACGTGAGGACTTTACAGATGGCATCTAGCATCAGCAAAGGAACCTGGGCCTTAGCCACGCTTGTGTTTATTTACCAGCTTCACACCAGTTTCCTGAGTGTTCCCTTGGTCACATCTTCACTCATCCGTCTGTACCTTTAACCATTCATGAGTGTGCCTGTCCCTGCTTGTGTGTGCCTCTGCCAAATGCTTCTGCAAGCACCCACACATGTACGCAACAATGTGCACAGTACTGAAGATCAAACCCAGGACCTCTCATGTAGTAAGCAAGGCTCTGCCAGCATGCCGCACCCTGTCCCTAAGCAATTTTAATCATATCAGTTCATACTTATAAAGGATCCTACCAAGTTCTTATAACCTCCTTCTATGGATGACTTTGTTCCATTTCACACATACAAACACAGACTGAGCCTGGTTAAGGAACTTTCCAGACAATGCCCTGACCTTAAATCGCCTATCAAGGCCAGAGGACAGCCTCAGAATGTCAAAATGGTAGCACACACCTGTAATCCAAGCACTTGGGAGGCTGCAGCAGGAGAATTGCATGTTTAAGGCCAGCCT